ACCTGGACACCCCCTGACACACCTATTGCTGTTTTCCATCCCAGAGGTTCACAGAACAAGAGATCAAAAAGGAAGCCCCATTTCCCATCTCCCATAGAGCCACGCCCAACACCTGGTTCCGGCCAATCCTGGCCCCTGAGCCCCTCCCCTCAACCTTGCAGTTGGGGCTGAGAAATTCTTGGGGCAATCTGACACCATTGGGTGTTCTCCTTTTCCGAACACCCATGCCATGGAGGTGGCAAGATTGAGCAAGTGATGAGAGAAGAACTTTCCAATCATTGCCCTCTCTCAGTGGCACATAGCCTCCTATACACACTGAGGGCTAATCCCTTCCTCAGTCAGTGTGCCCAGAGCACTGTGTTTAGAACTTGCTCACAGCACATTTTCTGTTTGATTTATACTATAATTATATGCTTGTATCTCCCAGCACCAGACAGTGAGCAACATGAGGGCAAAGAATCATCTAATTCACCTCTGTCACTCCCTACAGTGTCTAGTGTGGGGAATGGCACATAGCAGACATCAATAAATGTTTGTCATACTGGGAAAGGAAAGTCAAGGACCACACAGTGGTCAAACTCAAGACTCAATCTTGGGTCTTCCCTGGTGGCTCAGTGGTTGAGAATCCGCCTGCCAGTGCAGGGGACATGGGTTCAATCCCTGGTCTGGGAAGATCCCACATGCCGCCGAGCAACTAAACCTGTGCGCCACAAGTACTGAGCCTGCGCTCTAGAGCCCGCGAGCCACAACTACTGAAGCCCACACGCCTAGAGCCCGGCTCCGCGACAAGAGAAGCCACCGCAATGAGAAGCCCGTGCACCACAAGGAAGGGTAGCCCCCGCTCGCCACAACTAGAGAAAGCCCGCGTGCAGCAATGAAGACCCAACACAGCCAAAAATAAATAAATAAATTTATTTATTTTTAAAAAAAGACTCAACCTTGCTTTAGGCCATCCTGTTTCAGTAAGAAAAAAAACAGGAAGAGCCCCTTTCCTCCCCAACACACTCCATCCTGCAGAGTCTCAGAAGCACTCCCACCCCAAGCACAGCTGGGTTTCTATCAAGTTGAGTGTGTGTAATTGTGTGCGTGTGTGTGCGCATACATACATGTTGGAGTGGGACCTTGAAGACCCCATCACTTCTCTGAACCGGAATTCGCGTCACCATCCCTGGGCAAACACAACAAACTCTGGAGATACTCATGTTACTGGATGGGCACCCTGGGGTAGATCTCCAAACCCAGATGCGAGCACCCAGATGTGCATTCGTCCTGGACACCTACTTTGTGCCAGGTGTGGGGTTACATACGGGGAAAGGAATATGAGGCCCTCTCCTTGCCTTCAGGGCATCCAGTGCAATCCTGTCTTCACCTTGGCTGCATATCCACAGCACAAAGAGAAAAATAGATGCGAGGCTATACTTCAGACCTCCCTAATTAACATCTCTTCAAGTGGAGCTGGGATGCTTGCCTTTTTTAAAGCCTCTACAGGTGAACTGATTCACAGTTCTATCCAACAGAGCCTTCCAAGAGGATGGAATGTTCTGCATCTGCGTCATCCAGTCAGTAGCCACTAGCCACGTGTGGTTACTGAGCACTTGGAATATGGCAAGTGACTGAAGAGTTGAATTTTTTATTTTGCTTAATTTTAATTAAACAGCCACACATGGCTAGTGGCCAACATATCAGACTGCAAAACTCTTGATGATCCCAAATCACTTCAATTTGGCTTTAAAATACTTTTCACAACATTGTGTGTGTGTGTGTGTGTGTGTGTGGCAGGGGTGGGGGGGTGTTGCCGCGCCGTGCGGCTTGCAGGATCTTAGTTCCCTGACAAGGGATTGAACCCCGGCCCGGGCAGTGAAAGCACCTGAGTCCTAACCACTGGTCTGCCGGGGAATTCCCTTACAATATTGTTTGGTAGCAGCTGACATCACCATGCCCTTTGGCCCAGGAGAAAACAATGAGCTTCCCCTCCCTAAGGACACTCTCACTTGTACTGAAGAAACTGTTCTAAAATGGGTTGGGGGGTAGGGCCAGGCTGGTATTTTAAGGCCTATTAGCCAGCTAAGCCACCACACCAGCCTCCATGCCCAGACTGGAGGAAAGGCATGGAGTACCCATTTGTTAGAGGTTGACATTGGTCAGGGAAGAAAAAGCGGTGACATAATTTTAGGTGCCTGTTATGGACTGAATTGTGACTCCCCCAAACTCCTATTGAAGCCAAGTTAAACGAGGTCATAAGGGTGCGTGGCACCTTAATGCAATACGACTGGTGTCCTTCTAAGAAGAGGGATACCAGGCAGGTGCACACAGAGAAAAGGCCATGAAGGACACAGTGAGAAGGCAGCCACCCGCACACCCAGGAGAGAGGCCTCGGGGGAAATCAAACCTGCTGACATATACATCTTGGACTTCTAGCCTCCAGCACTGTGAGAAAATAAATTGTTCAAGCCCCCCAGTCTGTGGCATTTTGTTATGGAAGCCCTAGCAGACTAACATGGTGCCCTTGGGAAAAGCAGGCCCAGGACCCTATTCAGCCTCTCCCTGAAAAGATGCACCCCAAGAATTGAGGGCAACAACCCTCTAGAAGCCAGATCCAGCAGTGACTCTGACACATCTAAGCTTTCAAGTCATCATCTTGGTCACTACTATTCAAGAGTCTCTACGCACTGCCCAACCCTACCTCCACAACCTCGTGATTCTCACCCCAATGCTAGGCTTTCACCCCAACCAACTCTATCCCCCTGAGACATCTTCCCTACACACTAATCCCCTCCCTTCCCATTCCTGACCCCACTGCACCTACACTGCCTCCTATATGGCTTGCCCCTCCATCCCCCATCTGTTGGGTGTTTTAAGCGCATGTTCTGTGCATCTCACTTCCTTCACTGGACTGCAAATTCTCAAAGATTAGTCTAGCATTCAAGACCTTTCACAAGCCGGCCCCAACTTAGCTCTCCACCTTGTTCTCCCAACTGGGCCAAGTCAACATTAATCTACTTGCCAGCCCTTGAACAATGCTCTTCACTAAGCTCTCCAAAACTTTCCCAGTCTCTAAAGCCATCTGAAATGCCACCTCCTCCAGAAAGCTCTCCCTGACTACCTTAGCTAAATACATAAGAGAACAATGGCTCTTATCTCTGCAATTATTCCAGTGCCCAGTTCTAGTGCTCTAACCAGGGCAATAACTACTTAGAAAGAGAGGAAAGGAGTCTAAGGAACATGGGGGTGCAAAACTGTAATGTAATTCTGATGCCAACCACCCGGAGTTAGCACAGACCCCTCAGGTTTAAGGGCAGAGCCCCCAACAAGACTGCCCTCACTGTAGATGCCAACTTCAAGTTTGGAGGTCCCCAGGCCACCTGCACTGCTAACTGGCTACAAATTCAAGGATTCCCACACCCTCCTCAGGCTCGATAACTTGCTAGAATGACACAGAACTTAGGAAAGCACTCCACTTACAATTACAGTTTTATTATAAAGGATACAAATCAGGACCAGCCAAATGAAGAGACACATAATGCAAGATCTGGCAGGCTCCCAGTTTCCACGTCCTTTCTCCCAGAGTCAGGACACATCACCCTCCTGACACATCCATGTGTTAACCAACCAGGAAGCTCACCGAAGCTTCCACGTCCAGAGTCTTTATTAGGGTTTCATTATGCAGGCATAAGTGATTGAAATCATTGACCACGTGGCTGAGCTCAGCCTCCAGCCCCACCTCCCCTCTCTGGAGGGCAGGCTGATATCACCTGGCTTGAAGCCCCAGCCCTCTAATCACACTGTTGGTCTTTCGGGCATGGTCAGCCCTCCTGAGTCAAATTTCAGCATAACCTCAAGTGTGGTCTGAGGGTCCCACCATGGATGACAAACTCCCAGCACTTGGGAAATTCTGAGGATCTAGAGGCTCCTTCCCAAGAACCAAGAATGGAGGCCACTCAAATTATTTATTATACAATGGGGGGGACACATATTAAAAATCTTATTTATTGGGCTTCCCTGGTGGCACAGTGGTTGAGAGTCCGCCTGCCAATGTAGGGGACACGGGTTCGTGCCCCAGTCCGGGAAGATCCCACATGCCGCGGAGCGGCTAGGCCTGTGAGCCATGGCCGCTGAGCCCGCGCGTCCGGAGCCTGTGCTCCGCAACGGGCGAGGACACAACAGTGAGAGGCCCACGTACCGCAAAAATAAACAAACAAACAAATAAATAAATAAATAATCTTATTTGAGAGCTGGAGATGACCTGTCCTAGGAGCTAGAGTCCAACCATGTGTTCCTTATTAAGCTGGTCTCTGCCCCCAACTGAATTCACCCTCCCAGCCCTTACTAAAGGGGCAGCCATTCAGCAGACGTAAGAAATGAGTCAGCTGGAGATACCAGGCTCCCATCCACCCATCACAGTGCCCCAAGTAGCAGACAAACCACTGGACAGGGCCCTAACAGAGACCCTGCAGCTTTGGTAAGGCAATTAGAGACTGTTCATACCACCCCCAGCTACCCAAGAGAACCCTCTGCAAACAGGAAGAGGTAAGAGATGGGAAAACATAAACCGCCACCTTCTACACCTGATATGCAGGAGGGAAAAAGAGCCAACACAAAAGGGTTTAGGAGCTTTTAATGCTTAGACGGAAAAATCACAGGCTGGGTTTGTCATAAACTCATTAGTCCATCTCTGGTGGGGCAAGAATCTGCCCGTCACTCAGGCTACAGGTGGAGGCCCAGACCCCTACCCCCACCTGGGTCTTTGGGTCAGAGGGGCTTCCTGTGTAGTGCAGTGCAGTGCCTCCCCAACGTGGGGGCAAGAAAGCTAGAAAAGGTGTAATGAGCACCCACGCGCCAGGCATTACGCAAGGCACTTTTAAGGGTTATCTCAGTTAATCCCCACACCAGCCCCATGAGGCAGGGACCCCACTTTATAGATGAGGATCCTGAGGCTTGGAGAGGTCAAGCAACTTGTCCAAAGTCATAAAGTTCACAAGTCTCAAAGCTGGGATGGAAATCCAGGTCTTCTGGCCGTTCCCACGCTGCCACACTGAATTGTCTCTCTCTGACGCAGCCTCAGTCTCCCATCAGAAGTTGACTCCCAGCAGCCATGACCCACGCTTCGTCCTGGTCCCTGTGAGGCAAGGGGTGAGCTGAAGGAAGCCGTTCTAGGACGGGTGGGGATCCTGGCAGAATCTTTTCTCTAAAACGGCAAATATGACCTCGGAAGTCACCGTTCAGGTCATTCTCCGCCGAAGAGAGGCTCCAGGGAAACACTGAGGTGGAGCAGTTCGCAGGTGCTGGCCCTCTGTGGAGCTGGGTACCACAGACCAAAGAAGCAATGCTCAAAGGAAGGTGAGGCGGGCAGGAATCGGGAGGGCAAGCAGGAGTAGTGTCCGAACTGCCGCGGCAGGTCCCAGCAACCAGGGAGCCGAGGGGGACCTTGTCGCTCCAGTCCAGGAGGCGCGCGGCCATCTGCTTGCCCCGAAGGACCCAGGGGACCTTGAACACATCCTGTGCAGGCCGCAGGGGCGCTCACTTCGTTAACAGCGGCAGCAGCCCCAGCTCATTCAGTCTCTCCTTGGCCACCACCTCCCAGCCCTTGTTGGCCTGCGGGTTGCGAGGGGAGGGGTGCAGGAGCCCCTCCACCTGGACCTCGGGCATCAGGCCGGCCAGAGCTCGCCGCGCCCGCTGCTCGGCCAGGCGGCCCACGCCCACCACCAGCCTCACCCCCAGCAGCTGCACCTGCCGGCACAGGGCCGCATCACAGACCCCAAGGAGCTGTTCTCGCTGCTTGGCCGGCAGCTCGGCAGGGGTGAGGTTGCGGCCGCTGGGAGCCAGGAGGAGCAGAGGACACAGGTTGTGGACGAAACAGTGACGAAAGAAGACCTCGGGCTGTCCACAGAGGTTCCGGAAAAAGCCCCAGAACCGGGCACCACTCACCTCGGACTGAGGGCACTCCAGTCCCAGCACTGGTCGCTTGGGGTGCTCTTTGGGAGGGGTCTGCACAGGCCCCCCAATGCCCAACCAGTCCCGGACTACACTCACTTCCCCAAAGGGCACCTGTGGGGAAGGAGAGACACACCAGGGCTTCAGACTGGAGACCTGACGCCTGGGCTCTGAACCAACCAGCCCCTCTCCACCCTCCAAGAGGATCTAGCTGCACCCCACTCACCCCCCACTCCAACCACCTTCACCCAAGGGCCTGAGACAAGGATTCCTGGCCCTTGGTTTGAGCCTGTCCCTCTTTCTCCAATTGTTCGTGTGGCTTGCGGTCCAGGAGGATCTATTTGTTTGCCTCTACCCCACGAGCCTTTGGGACCAGGTACAGGAAGCGCATGGGGCATAAGAGGTCCCACACAGGGCGTGATGGGTAGCAGGGGGGACAGACAGATGGCCCGAGACAGAAAGGCGGCCAGAGCTAGAGGAGGCACAAGGACAGGGCTGACCACTGCTCTCTGGGTGCCCTCTCAGCCCCAAGCCTCAAGCTGTCGTTTCCATCGATCATCATGGATCACCTTTCAGCCCCCAGTTGGGATCAATAAAAGCGATTGAGCCTCCTGCCCTGAAGCCTCTTCCCCTCCCCCACCTGCCGAGCACCCGCACGGAGGGGCAGTCACTCATCTGGAGGTCTGAAAGGGAAGCAGGCAGGCCCTGGAGTCTGCTCTGTTCCGAAGCTCTCCTCAAGCTAAGAAGCAGAACCCGGGTTGCCGGAAAGTCCTGCATCTCTTCCCTACCCACTCCGGTCAACCAGGCTCCCCACGGACCCCATAAGTCCTGGTCCCTCTCCTGAACTCAAGCACGCTCTAAGGAGAGGGGAGATCCGGCAGGGTAAGGAAAGGATGGGGCTGGCGGAAGGAAGGGCTCTCAGTGGCAATTAGTGGACAGCTCACAGGGGAAGCGGAACTACCATTAATGTGCTTGGTTAACTAGGGGCAGCGAGGCCGGGAGAGTGTCTGAGACCACAGGAGCCAGTGTGTGGGGCGGGGGGGCCCACACACGTCCACAGCCGCGCACAGGCTCCCCACAGCACGCGCAGCCAAGCATCCACCCTGAAGCCTCCCCCTCCACCCAACAGAGGAAGCCGACCTCTTTACCCCAGTCTGGGCCATGCCAAAGGGTCCTGGGTTCATGCCCAAGAAGAGCACTTGCTTGGGCCCCTGGCAGTAGCGGGTCACGTAGCTGCGATGCGGCTCCCACGCATATTCCACAGGATTGTAGATGATGCCCACAGGCTCAGAAAACTGCAGCTGCTTCAGCTCAGCGTTAAGCCGGAGCTCCTCCTCCAAGAAGCCCTCGGCCGAGCTTCGAGGGGAGGGCTGGGGCTCCACCAGAGCACCCCCCTCATGGAGGGGCCCCGGCGGGAAAGCCTGGGGCACAGCCATGACACTGTCACCTGGAAAAGAGATGGACAGAGGCCCCAACAGCCCCAGTCATAGCGTGGGAGGGATCCAGGCTGGCCAGGGCCCCTACTACCACTTCCTGGGCTCAGAAGAGACTGTCGGGCTTCCCTGGTGGCGCAGTGGTTGGGAGTCCGCCTGCCGATGCAGGGGACACGGGTTCGTGCTGCGGTCCGGGAAGATCCCACGTGCCGCGGAGCGGCTGGGCCCGTGCGCCATGGCCAATGAGCCTGCGCGTCCGGAGCCTGTGCTCCGCAACGGGAGAGGCCACAGCAGTGAGAGGCCCGCGTACCGCAAAAAAAAAAAAAAAAAAAGGAAAAAAAGAAGAGACTGTCAGTCACCCCCAACCTCCAGGCAAGCCCTCGCTCATCTCAGCTCCTGGTAATGAAGGGCCCTTCCTCTTCTGGATTCAAGTATCCTCCCTCTTTATATATTACCTGGTGAGCACAACCCATAACCGCCAACCACCCCCCACTGCAAACCTCCTTTCCATCAGGCACAGGTTTTGAGTCACTGGTTCCTAGGCCACACCTAGGTTTTCAATAAATATTTACATGGCGAACTTTCAGCACCTAAAACAAGCCCAGCCAGGAGGGGCTGTCCTGGAAACCAGCGTGCTAAAGGGTGGGACACAGGTGCACAGCCACAGCCCAGAGACTAATTACGGAGCTGATTACAAGAGCTTCCAGGTGGTGGGCAACTGCTCCGTGCCAGGTACCCCTCACTGATGTGCACAACCACCCCACGAGGTGGGTATTACTGTTCCCACGTTACAGGTGAGAGAACTGAGGCTTAGCAAGATCAAGCAACTTGCCCAGGGTCACGCACTTAGCAAATAATGAAGCTGGGATTTGAACCCAAACCATCTGACTCAAGGCTGTGCGCGTCACCATCCACACCCATCTCGCTTTAGACGGTTCGATCGGCCACCCTGCTAATTCTACAACCCCCCAACCCCAGCCCAGCTTCTTGCCCACGTTCAAGAATCCTCAGTGGTGAGTGAGACGATTACCAGATTCACACTAGACTCCTACAAGCTAGGTAACCCTGGCCAGAGCCTCAAGTCTCCTCACCCAAACACTAAGAAAAACAATATCCACTTAACAACATTGATATAAGAAATGGAATGAGATATTGTGTGTAAAGGGTGGCCCGGGGGGAGGTAAAGGGGGAAGGGAAGAGGACAAGAAAGAGGGAAGGGGGGAAGCAGGAAGAGGGAGCACCCCAGCGAGCTCTGTAACCCACAGAGGCCATTCCTTCCAATCTTCCTTCTAATCACTCCCACGCAAACCCGGTGGTCCAAACTGACCTTTCCATTCACAGTTTCAAAACGCCCTTCCTACCTCAACTCCGCAAACCTTGCACATGCCATTTCTACAAACCCAATTTTTCACAGACTCCTTGAGTGAAGCACGACTGTGAGTCCCCTACCCCCCCACACATCCAAATCATACCTCCCCTTCCAGATGCAGCTCGAACTATCCCTTTGGTAAAGCCGTCCCTCTTCAGGACGCTGCACCATTTGCTGTACCTTCCCAGCCTCGCCCAACCCAAGTACGGCTGGCGTGAGGCCTGGTAATCTGTATTTTTAACAGGCTTCTTCAAGTGATGCTGACTGTTGGTGACGGCTGAGAACCACTGCACGTCACCATGGTTAGCTGTTTCTTCATGAATTCACACCTGGCCTCTCAGACTAGACTTGAGGCAGATCAGAGAGGAGACCCTGTTTAATTTTCCTCCATAGCTCCAAGGTCCTAGCTTTTATTAGGCAGTTAACAAACACCTGCTCAGCTGTATCCATACCATCTTTTTTCAATCCTGTTTAAAACTACCTTCTGGGAGTTCCTGGTGGCCTAGTGGTTAGGATTCCGGGCTTTCATTGCCATGGACCAGGTTCAATCCCTGATTGGGGAACTGAGATCCTGCAAGCTGTGCAACACGGCCAAAATAAATTAAAAAATAAATAAAACTACCTTCTACCCAGGAGCCTTTCCTGATGGACTCCTCTCCACTTCTACATCCTGAGTCCACTCAAGGCTCAGCTGCCTGCTTTGCCCTCTGCTTGCTTCTGAGGGCTTGCCAGGCTCTGGCATGTTTCCATCACATCTGGGCCTCCCACAGGGCAGGGACCATGGTTCTTCTCCCTCTCAACCCCTTGCCCAGGTCAAGAGTAACCTCTTCCCCGAGATGGGACCTCAAGGTTGACACAACAGCTTGATCCATCAACCTGTTCTCTGACCCTAGCCTAGAGAAAGTGGGAGAGAGAAAAAAAAAAAAATCTTAAATCAACTATACCCCAATATAAAATAAAAATTAAAAAAAAAATCAGGGCTAAACTTAGGAAATCCTTCCCTAGACTGATCTCAGAAGTCTTTAACTGATCTGTCTGGGTGGCTACCCACGGCCAATTGAACTCAAACAAAAGCTGAGAAGGGAGCTGTGGAGAACTCAGTTGTCTCAGGGGCCCTTGATTTGCATCTCCCCACACAGTGCCAACATTAGTAGGTTGGCTGCTCCAAGTCTGGGACCTCTCTCAGGCCTTAAGTTGAGCCTACCTTTGATCTTTAGGGACCCATGCTGAAGACAGCAAGGCTGGGGGTACACAAAAGAGTGACAAGGTCTTATTTTCAGTGTTCTAGAATTTCAAAGCCTGACCGGATGGCAAGAGCTGCAGGCTATGTGTCAACTGACTCAAATTCTAGTCCTGGTTTTATCTCTAAGGTTCTCTTAAGTCACTACCTCTCTTATCTATGAAATAAAAATCACAAATTCCATCCAACCTACCACCAGCTGTTAACTCATTTATACTTTTCAATATTTATGAGTCTCTTACATGAGAGGCACTGTGGTAGTCTCCTGGTGGGGAAGAAGTCCAAAATGAATAAAATGTAAGCCAGGTTCATAAATGACTGTGACAAGACAGATAAACAATTGTTATACACTGTGATTCCAGCTTTAATGTCCTGAACAAAACACCATGAAAGCCCACCAAAGGAGAAACTTGAATGTCCTATCGAAAGTCACCCAGGGCCACAGACTTAAGAAAGGCAGATACTTTCTAAATGACAGTGTCATATTACATTAAGTGCGAAGGAAATGGAGGGTGACCCACCGATAAGTCTGGCCACCCAGGCTCTCTGACACTAAACCCAGCAAGTGCAGAAGGAATCCAAGACACTATCCACTCCCCTGTCCCTTGGGGGCACTCCAGGAATCCACAGGGACAATCAGCAAATCCTTAAACCAATAATGATAACAATAATAATAATGGAGCATGGACCCCGAAACATTTCATCTCTTCTAGTTCCGAGGGGGCTGACGGCTAAGCTCCACAAGAAATCTCGACCTCCGCCCGCGGGCTCCGCCCGACGGGAAAGCCTCGTCTCCGCAGGCCTTCCGGGCGGCTCCATGGGCTCGGCTCTCCCTGCGCCGGGCGAGCCCCTGACGGAGCGAGGGGCCCCGAAACACAGACACCGCGACTCCCCGCCTGCCACCCACGGGGAGCCCGTGGAGCTCCCAGCCCCCGCCCCACCAAAGCCCCAAGTTCCCAGACTCCCACTTCCCTACCTGGTCCACCGCCCCATCCGGTTTCCGGTTCCTTTCCCCCGCCCCTGAGCGCGGAGGGCTGTGGGAATTGTAGTCTAATTTGTTTAGGGAAGACGATTGGCGTAGCTGCGGCCACTTCCGCCGGAAATACTAAAATTCCCGGAAGATGTGCTAATTAGCCCTAAGTGACGCTGGGGATTGTAGTTTATTCTTTTTTTTTTTTTTTTTTTTTTTTTTTTTTGCGGTACTCGGACCTCTCAGTGTTGTGGCCTCTCCCGTTGCGGAGCACAGGCTCCGGACACGCAGGTTCAATGGCCATGGCTCACGGGCCCAGCCGCTCCGTGGCATGTGGGATCTTCCCGGACTAGGGCACGAACCCATATCCCCTGCATCGACAGGCGGACTCTCAACCACTGCGCCACCAGGGAAGCACCTGTAGTTTATTCTTTACAGCGGGGCTAAATCCTGCAGACTTGAGAAGTGAAAAGCCAAGCTCTGTAAGGATCTTGGAGATCCTGGATTCTAGCCGTAAAGGGCATCACCTTTCCAAAAGTTCATCCACAACACTTTTCCCAAAGGGATTGTCAATCAAGGAGCTTCAACTCTCCGCAGTCTCTCAACTCACCTGAGGGTATTAACAATGGGTACAGACCATTTCTAGCCCTCCTTCTGCCCCAGGTATAAGAGACCTCTCCTTTGCAGCTCTCCAAGGACTGTATATAGAACATCCACGGAGGCACTTCTGGCATCTCTAACAACTCCTTAGTAATGACTTTGAGACTCTTGCATCCCCCATTACTGTCCAAACCCCTGTCTCCATGGCTTTACCATTTCAGTTCTCTCCCTACTCTGCTCTGCTGTCTACCCAGCTCTATGACCTCCCATCCTTCCCAATCCTCCCCCTCGAATACTCTGTCCAGCACACCTTCCTAGACCAATATCATGGCCTCATCTAACAGTTCATTCCCTCCCACCTCCCCAACCCAATACTAATATCCAAAGCTGTCCCACTCCTAGCTTTGTTCTTGTCCTGTCTCTGGATCTGTTTCTGTGTCTTGACTATAATATTTTCATTAGACTGTAAACACCATAAGGCCTGTTATCTTGTAGATTCCTCCCATCCCCCTGCCCTGAATACTCCAGTACAGCCATGACTGAGACCAGGGAAAGCAGTCTCCCTGCAGGTGGAGACCAATGAATCCCAGAACAGGAAGAGGTGAGAGAACAAGGATGCTACCCCTTTCCCTAGCCTCCCCTGCTCTCCTCCCAGCAGACGAAAACTTAAAGGATGCAGGAGGAGCTTCAGGGAACTGTGAGCAGTGAGCCTCTGAACCACAGGTGAGAAACCACCCCTACCCTGGCAAGACTTCGGAAACTGAATTAATCATCCACCTCAACAAATTCCATTATTTCCTGAGCTTTCATTTGTGCCAGATTCTCCCTCTCTGTGTCTTTGACTCTCTCTGCCTATGTAAATGTATCTCTATCCCTAGTCTCTTGTATAGCTGTGTATCTGTGTGTCTCTCTCTCCCTCTGTGTACATCTACCTCCCTATCTCTGCTTTTTTCTCTGGAATGAGTGAAATAAGAATATCCTGGGGACTTCCCTCGTGGCGCAGCGGTAAAGAATCTGCCTGCCAATGCAGGGGACACAGGTTCGATCCCTGGTCTGGGAAGATCCCACATGCCGCAGAGGAGCCAAGCCCATGCGCCACAACAACTGAAGCCTGCGCTCCTGAGCCCGCGTACTGCAACTACTGAAGCCCGCGCGCCTAGAGCCCGTGCTTTGCAACAAGAGAAGCCACAGCAATGAGAAGCCTGTGCACCGCAATGAAGAGTAGCCCCCCGCTCGCTCGCCGCAACTAGAGAAAGCACGCGCACAGCAATGAAGACCCAACGCAGAAAAAAAATAAAAGAGTATCCTGAACTAGCCAGGTCCCTGCTCAGGCTCCTCTGTCTCCATAGATCTATGCATTTGTGTGTTTCTAAACAAAAATTAGGAGGGAAGGGGAACCACACCGGTGGTGTTATCTCATTGCTTAGGAATTCTAGGAGGGAATTCCCTGGTAGTCCAGTGATTAGGACTTGGCGCTTTCACTGCTGTGGTCCCAGGTTCAATCCCTGGTCAGGGAACTAAGATCCCTCAAGCTGCGTGGTGCAGCCAAAAAAAAAAAAAAAAAAAAAATTCTAGGAGCCTCACCAACGCTTTGACAACCCTCCTGCCACCCCAGCCTTTGTCCCTTGCTGCCAAGCACTATCAGGTTATCATCATGGCAGCCCCTCCACACTCCAAGTCTGTTTACAGGACAGTAATGAGTGAAGTGAGTGACAGGCAAGCAGAGATCCCCAGGACCCCCACCCCCAATTCCAACTTCCTGGAAGTGTTGGATAAATGTTTCTGTCCCTGTAAGACAGGGACCCCAGAGATAGGGAGTCCCAACGTGGGAGAAACTGAATCTTGGGCAACCCCCAGTGAGTGCCTGTAGCTGATCCCGCAGGGGCCTGGGGGCCTTCTCTGTCTCTAGTCCATGCTACTCCTCCCCACTTGGTGAGTCCCTCTCAGGGAAGATGGAGGTGAGGAGTTCTCCCGAAGTGGAGGTGATTAGAAAGAGATCCATAGACTTTCAAGAGATGGAGCCTGAGAGATGAAACTTTGGCTGGGATGGAGCCTCCCAGCCTGCCTTGTCCATGTCTTAGTCTCCTAGCCCTCTGCGAAGTCTCCAGGGGGCTGGCTGACTGGGATTTACAGATAAAGCGTGTGGGGAAGCAGCAGAAGCAGACCCAGGCTGTGGCCTGGACAGAGCCTAGAGAGTTGGGTCACTCCCTAGGGGCCAGCCAGGTCTGCGGTAGCGCCCTCAGCTGCCCACCAGCCTGCTTCTGGGGCTGGAGCCCAGGCGGGAAGGGGTTAACCTGCTGGCTTGTTTTCCTTTGGTTTCCTTGGGCTGCCTGGGCTGTATTGGGCCACGAGCGCCATCTATCGGCCTCTAGAGGTCCTAGCCCAGACTCCCAGATCACTTGGGCTTCTAGGCTGATCTGTAGCCCTTCCCCTGCCTCCAGGCTCCTAGGGGAGGGAAGGGGAGCTGTCTAGCACAGGGCTCCAGTGCAGAAAATAGATATGTGGATTGGAGAAGGTGAGGGCCATGTTTCCCACTCCCCAAGTAACAGGTATCACCCTGTTGGCTCCTGCCACCTTTGGGAACCCCAAAGGGCTTCAGGTGTTTGTCTGTCAGTGTAGCCGTGTCCCTCTGCCCCACCACAGTGGGCGCTGTCTCACTTGTCCTCTCTCAGTCAGCCCAATAAACATTCAAAGAGCATTGGAGAGGAGAGGCGATGTAGCAGAGGCCTTTAGAGTGTGATCTCTGGACTCTGACCACCTGCATTTGAATCCCAGCTCTGCCATTTACTAGTGGTGACCTGAGGCAAGTTATTTAACTTCTCTGTGCCTCAGTTAACTCAACTGTAAAATGGGATAATCACTGTAATCCAAGTCTTCTTTTGTGATAATTAAGTGACTTAATTACGTAAGGGGCTTAGTACAGCGGGTAGCACAGGACTGCCGCTCAGTAAAGGTTAATCGTATCGCTGTTATGGCCGTGTGCCAGGGTCTCAGGCAGACGCTAGTCTGAGGACCCCAGATCCAGGCCATAGAGCCACATCAGACACACAAGCATGAGGACAAGACTGGGCAACTCGTCCCTGGAGATTTCCACAAAAACAGTGACCCATATGAGCTAGGTTTGGGGGCTGGAAGCTCAGGATTGCGAGGAAAGTGGTTTCAGGCCTCCAAGGTCAGCAGGAGATGGGATGAGGGGAAGCTGTAGGAAGGAAGGGCATTAAGGAAGAGACATTAACAAGCCCTTAAAAGGACCTTCAATTAGGGAAGTGGTGAGGAGTCCCTGATGCATGGGGCAAGCGAGAACCACTGCATCCCAAAGACATGTCCTCCTTGGTAAAGTCTCAGAAGTCTCAGGATTTGATCAGGCTCCCCACGCCTCCAAAGATACATCATATCACAGCTGCAGCCCAGAGCTCCGTGGGGACTTAACCCTCAATGTCTCTCCCCCAGGCTGGTGGGGAGGGGATTCATAAATGGAGAAAGCTATCTGTAAGTCCTGCAGGTCCCGCTTCCACCTCCTTCCTATACCTGGAGAACCAGGGGAGGTAGGCTGTGAATTCATGCATTTGTTTCTTTCTTTTTTTTAAAAAAATAAATTTATTTATTTATTTATCTATTTTTGGCTGCATTGGGTCTTCGTTACTGCGCGCGGGCTTTTCTCTAGTTGTGGCAAACGGGGGCTACTCTTTGTTGCGGTATGCGGGATTCCCACTGCGGTGGCTTCTCTTGTTGTGGAGCACGGGCTCGAGGCGTGTGGGCTTCAGTAGTTGTGGCACGTGGGCTCCAGAGCACAGGCTCAGTAGTTGTGGTGCACGGGCTTAGTTGCTCCGCAGCATGTGGGATCTTCTCTGACCAGGGCTTGAACCCGTGTCCCCTGCATTGGCAGGCGGATTCTCAACCACCATGCCACCAGGGAAGCCCCATTCCATTTATTTCTTAACAGGTTCAGGCATCTCCCTGTCTCTGTCTTCTGTATCTCTGCCTTCATCTACCTTACCGGGAAATGGGTACGTAGGATTCTTCTCCAAGGGGCGAGAGTGAGGTGCAGAATGACGCCTTCTCAGTTAACGCAGAAATGCAGAGCCAGCGGGGCCCCCGTCCCAGCCTTACCACCCCACTGCCGCCTCCTCAGCCCAGAGGCAGTACAGACCAGCTTTATGGATTGGTGGCCTTTACTTAGCTGGAGGCAGGCGACAGCTTCCAAAGTCTCTCCAACTCAGGTGTTCTCCCTCTCCTGGGGTCTGGACGCCTGGGTCCCCAGGAGAGGAGCGGGGACTGGCTGGATGGGCTGATTTGCATCGCTTGCTTGGGAAGCAATTATCGGAGGAGCTGTCAGCTCAGCG